ACAGTTAAAGAAAATTTCTTCACTGTTCCGGTTTTCTGAGATGTTCCTGTAGAGACACCATAACTGATGTCTCCACCTTCGCTGTAGCGGGGCGTCCGCCATGTTTTCACAGAGAAGAGATGATTCTCCATCTGATGTCAGCAGAGTTCCTCCTTGTTCTCCTCTGCTGACATGCAGAACCTTAAACCAGGCGTCAGGTTTCTATAAACGTTGATCCTGCTGCTTTCCCTCACCGTTTCTCCTGCAGGTGTCTGATCCAGACCTCACCTCATCATGGCTGCCGCCTGCTGAGCCCAACAGAGTCTCCTGCACCTTCATGATGTTCTGACTAATCAGCAGAAGCCACTCTGAAGCTCCGCAGGAGAGCAGAGGACTGATCATCAGGACTAACGGCAGTCAGAACCTCCTGCATTTACGCTTTACTGACACTAGAGGGCGCCACCAAGCTGGTGAGCTGCAGTAGAGCTCAGGACAGCCTTCATGGTCCTCCTGAAGGTCAGCAGGAAAGACGCTGCTGCCCAGTAAAGTAAACTGGTAAAACTGGTCAGAGGAAGGAGAACAGGAATGATCCAGTGATTAATGGATGAATTAACGGCTCATCGTGAATTAGGAGGATTTCTGCTCCTGGTTTTGGACCAGATGAAGGAACCAGGATGCTAAGCAGAAGGTCGGGTTCTGTGCAGCCCCTACCCCAGGCAGAACCAGACCAGGTCTGGATGTGGTACTTACTACGGCACTTGGCGCAGCGCCCCTTGTCGTACTCCAGCAGGTCCAGAGTCCGTCTGCGTTCGCTGATGGACCGCCTGGGACCGCTCTCCCTCAGCCGCGCCGCCTCCTCTTTAGCGTACTCCCCAAGTTCCTGGGTGTAACGCCCATACATCTGTGGGGGAGGGGGGGACACCCATCAGTCCACAGACTCCTGCTTTCAGTACCAGTCTGACCCAGAGACAGTGGAGGTGCCGACCCACAGACATCCAGCTGATGTCCCGAGGCTTTCATTGGTCTGGACCTTCAGACACGTTCAGGTTGGATGATAGAAAACTTTACAGCATTCAGACGGATCCTGATTAACGGATGGAGTCATTAATTAACCATCACTGGAAAACAGACTAACAGTCATTAGCAGCAATTATGCCAAAGTAATATAATATAATAATTATACAATAAATATAGAAATATAAATGTTTTACTTCAGGATGGTAAAGCGTTTCTGTCTAAACAGGATTAAATCTTCTTTAAGGCATCTTCTGTTATCCAACCGTTCATTAAAAAACACCCGACCTGACAGGAAGACAAAGACAGATTCACATTCACTCCCCCCCCACACACACACACACACCCCCATATGGACGCATAAACGCACTCACCGGAGACGTACACAGAGGCAGACCGTAAACATACACTACCCTCCTGGGTCTGGGGGCCAGGCCCCCTTCTCCCCAGTGTGAGAAGGGGGCAGGCAGCCAGAGGGGCTGGGAACCAGAGAACTAGAACTATTAGTTAGTTGGTGACCCCAGTAAATGAGGAAGAAGTCCTGATGCTAACCTGCTGTAGCAAAGCTATTTTTAAAGCCAAACCGTACAGAGCAGAGCGACGGCGGCGTTTCTACCCATCACTCATTACTCAGCTCCTCCCACATGGCGGGCTGAAACCAGGGTTCCTAGAAGTGAGCCCTGATGGACCGACCCGGGATAAGATGAGGGCAAACACACACAGTCCCACTGCTGCAATCTAAACAAACACTGGCTATTTATAGACTTATTCACACAGATCCGCCCCGAGGTCATCAGAACAAAGCAGCCAGAGACCTGAGGTCTCTGGCTGCTGAGAGACCAGGTTTAAATAGGGTCAAAGGTCACCACAGTTTGGAGGAGTCAAACAGGAATTCAACCGGCACCCTGTCAGTGGAAACGGTGAGTGAAGGAATAAAGGTTAGTGGCTTCCTGCTTGTAAAGGCTGCCAGGTAAAGGTGTGCTCTGACAGTAAATGGAGGTTTCTGAGGGCGTTTCTCAGAAACCTCCGTTTCTCAGTACGTACTCGCGTTCTCGTGAAGTCCGTTCTTGGCGAGAATGCAGGAAGATCGGACTTCACGAGAACGCGAGCCCGCAAGC